AAGCAGTTAGATGTTGCGGTGATGTTAGATTTGGATCTAATATAGGTTAATGAACAGAGTGTTTAAATAGATAACTCACAGGTGGGTTACAGGTATAGCAGCATAGTGTAGAACTAATCAGGTGGTCTAATCGCCTGTACGGCAGACTATTTAAATTAGACAATGACTAAAGTTGTACATATAGCTTGTTGTACACTCTTCATGTAATTACAGACAGTAGGGATTATTAATATATAATCCTGTATGCAAATACTAATAAAATCCTGTCAGCAATATAAGCCACTTTAAACAAAAAAAAAACAGCCTATGCAAAAGGTATAGTAGAGAAAATGAAACAATAGACTATCTAATTATCGTTGCTGACTAAATGTTTTAACATCACTATGTTTTGGGTTTATCACATGATAAAACTGATTTTAATACATATTGTAGTTAAAACTGATAAAAATAATAAAAATAAAAGCGATATAACTAGTGATAATTAGAGTGATAAACTATTACTATTATATTATGTATATAAAAGTTTACTGTATTATATAAAACTAATATCAAAACAAATGTTAATTTAACAAGTCATTATAAATTTCAACAAGTCATTACTTATTTCAACAAATCATTATTTATTTCAACAAGTTATTAGAATCCTATTCATAATGGAATCATATTTAGCTAACAAATGTTCTAATTGTCTGCAAGAAAATTAAAATTATTAGCAAGATAAAATTAATAATCAAAATAATAATTATCAATGAACTTTAAAACAAAAACAAAACATATAACATATGATACAAATAATTTAGAATCTCATTCTATTAATATTAATTATCAAAATTTACTTGATCATACTGTATTAAAAGCTTGAATTGGATGCAGTATATCATTTGATATTATTGATAACCTTTTTATGCAAGATTTACTTATGCAACTTAATTCTGCATATTACCCACCTAAACGTATGACATTATCTGGTCGAATTCTTGATGAGGAAATAACAAAAGTTAATAAAGAAATTTCTATGATTTTCGAAAGAAGTGATAATTTAACTTTAAGTAAGTAAAATAGATATACGTATATATTTATTTATTTATTTATTTATTTTATTATTATTAGCTTTAGATAGATAGTCTTCACCTCAAGGTTCATCAATCTATAATTATATTATTACTACAGTTGATCGTAAAGAATACCTCGTAGCATTAAAAGACTATTCTAATAAGTCAAATACTGGAGAATTTCTAGTGTCTGAAATCAATACAATAATAACTTTAATTAGTCTTGAAAAATTTGCTACAGTTGTAACGAATTCTAGAAGTAATTGCAAAGTTGTACAAAGAATTACAAATCACGATTATTCACATATTTTAGATATAAGATGTATTGCACATCTAATTAATTTGATCACTGAAGATTTTACAAAAATTACTCGAGTAAAAACATTTATAGAAACTTGTAGTTATGTAACAAAATTCTTTAATAAATCATATTTACCTAATCAGTTAATTGAAGATAGAATTTGTGTAATGAAAATTAAAGGTGGTAGATTACAAACTTATAAAAAACAATATAGTGCTATTTATAGAATACAACTGATTCACTATTACATTTACGACCAGTATTTAATTAGGTATTTATATCTATAATTACAGTATATCGATATTTATATTTTAATTAAATTAAATCTTCTAAATTTTTTTTTAATTTTTTTTAGATATTAACTAATTATGAATATAGTTTAACTAATAAATTTGTAAAGAATATGATTAATAATAATAATTTTTTTATAATATGCTATTATATTAATCAAGTTATGTAGCTGATAAAAATATGCGTTGAAAGACTTGAAGCCTGAACTGCAACATTAGCAGATTGTTATATTAATATATTAAAATTAGCTACAGCAATCTTTCAACTTTCAGAAGTAAATTCATTTAAATTACAAATAACAAAAATTTATAATATTCGATATGAAGAATTAAATCATGAAGCATATCTTTTAAGCTATTATTTACATCCGTTATATCGTAGTAAGTAAATTTAAAAGTTACAGTTACATATATTACACATACAGTATATTAAATAATATAATATAATTAATTAATTATTAGGATATGGTCTCAAAAATCAAATATTTCGTTTAGCATGTCTTACGGCCAGTAATTATTGGAAAGCTCTTAGACATGATCAAGCAGAATGTATTGATTTATTAGTTTAATTTTGTAAATATATTCATTATAAAGAATCTTATGACATAGAGTTTGATTTTTAAAGCGAATCATCACTTACATAGTGGTTAATGCATAATATAAAATACCACACATGCTTAGAAGATTTGGCTGTTAAAATGTTTTCAATTATGCCATCACAAACAGCATGAGAATGAAATTTCTCTATCCTAAAATGGTTTTATGGAGATCAAAGAAATCACCTTACAATTAAGCGTATTGAATCTATGGCTAAATTGCGAATATACTAGCTTTTAGAAATCCAGAAAGAACTTGAATATTATGTGAAAGATTTAACTGAAGAAGAATTACAGGCCTAGCTAATATGGCAACAATTCCAGTTTCAGAAGTTGATATATTTAATATAAATGACAACATATTCGATGATGACGAATCTTTTTTTTTTTTTTTTTTTTTTTTTTCTTTTTCCAAATGCTATTAGATTAACTTTTTTTTTTTTTTATTTTTGAAGCATTGTCCATTTTTTGGGAGGACAACTAGCCACAGTTACCATTTTAGGTTGTCGATT